CCACACTTGCTTCTGCTCTTGTGTTACTCTGTATTGCTTGCTTTAAAAAAAAACAAAAACCAATGGGTCATGTTATAGGGCAACATGTCGCCTGAGGTAGCAGCCTATAACTTGGGTTCTGTGAATAATCATGCCTGTGTCCTGTACTGTACTATAGGATACAGAATTGTGGGGATCGCTGGTTAGTGTGTTCTGGCAGGGATGGAGTTCCCCTGTCAGAACACAAAGTTGCGGGGGGGTGGGGGGGGGTCACCACTCCAACATTTCTTGTGTTGGGGTGATCCATCAGGTTTTTTTTTTTTTTTGGTTTTTTTTTGCTTTGTTCAGTCAGCTTTACACAATTGGACATGCAAAAATGTTTGCATCTTTGAAAGTTTGTAAGTTGAACGTTCCTATGTAGGGGACTTACTGTTTGTTTTGTTTTTTGTTTTTTTCTGTAAACTCCTGGACTAAATCAGAGTTTAGGCTGTTAACCTAGGTGAAAATGGTGCAATTTTATAAATTTTTTGAGCCTTGGTATAATACAATGAACAAGTAAAAACAATAAAAATAAACTAACCCCCTAAACTTGATTTTGTTTTAACTTGATTTCTATAATAGTTTAAATGTATAGAACCTTTAGGCAAAGTATGCAAAACCTGTTTTGGGCATAATTCAGTTTTGAGTTTATAACTGCTGGCTTTGGAGAGGAGGCCATCTATACACCCCCAGAGTTTGTCAAATTTCTCTGGGCACCTGGGCAGTGAGTATGTTACTTTTATATGATCGCATTCGGTGAGGAGGAGTGCATTTATTCCAAGTTATAGATTACTTGTTCACATAAAGTATAGGGGTTAATCTTTAAATACTGTATCAACCTGCAGGAAGTTTTAACTATGGTGAGCAGGGGTGCACACTTGTTTACTTTGCAGTATTTTCATGAAAGAATTCTAAGAAGGAACCCTTGCATGGAATCTTAAAAATGTCTGTGTATCTAACATGCAATCACAACAAAAAGGCATTCCGGAACCAGATGCTGTGATTTGATGAAATAATTGAACTCTGTCTACAACAAGGAGATGAAGTTTTGGGGAAAAAAGAAGCTTGCTAACTGTAAAGATAGATCAGTTAAACTTTGGGGTTGTTTAGTAGCTAATGACAGAGGAAGTATTATAAGCCATTCTTCCCTTGACCTGCATAATACCAACAAATTATTATTGAGGCAGTTACAGTGAAAATTAAAATTGGATACTCTGGAAGAATGCTCTGAAACTATGATATTTTGGGGTGGGGGTGGAGTCACAATTTAAAGCCAATTCACACCAGTGCATTGATCTGCGTTTTAGTGCAGCTGTAAAACGCAGATCAGCGGAAGGACATCTTAAAAACAATCATTTCTAATGTGTCCTATTCACACCATAACGCTGTGTTGACATGCGTTGCGCTAAAATGCAACATGTATGCATTTTAACCCAACGGATGTAAGCAGATGTAAACACAATGCACAGGATATCCTGGGAAAATGCAGTATGCTTTAACATACGCTATATTGCATGTCAGCGGACGTTAAAAAATGTATGTCAACAGATGTCTTCGCGTGACTAAAATGGATAGAAACATACATCCATTTTCTATACATTTTAGCGCACGTCAGTGTGAATTGGCCCTTAATGTTTTGGAAAGTTTACAGGCTTGGGTAACTTGCAAAATGAACAATAGTAAATACTGACTGACAGGGTGCTCAAACTTTTGCATGTGCAACTTTGTTAAATTAACTGTATAAAAATGATGCACTAAAATTCACGGAATCGTATCACATTTAGTATTTGGGTCACCTGGCACATTTTTCCAAAATATCACCGAAAATGTCAGTTGACTATCCCTTTATGTGGTATTTACCTCAAAAAGCAAAAAGGCTTGGTAAATACCACATAAAACCGCTTTAAAGTCAATTCACTAAATTAATGTATGCGTTAAATAAATAGTGGTCCAGGTTTGTAAAATTTAATGTATGAACTTCCAGCTGGTTATTAAAAAGCCATCACCTACCATGTCCTTAACCACCATGACTTGCCTGCTGTAAGCAGGATTTGATTTTTAGTGTGGGGTCCTCCTCAAATTCTCTAACAGACCTGAAGGGCCTGGTATGAATTGGGGAAGAGGGGAGCAACACTGTGGTGTTGTGTTTTTTTTTTTTTTTGCCTACTCTTCTGCCATAAAAGCACACTTTGCCCTCCTCCCTAATCCATACAGAATTTGAGGAGGACCCCATGCCAAAAATCAAATCATCCCACTGACAGTAGATGAGTCATGGTTGTTAAGGAGCTGGCTCCCACTGCATCCTTATTTACTGGCTGTTAAGGATGCTGGCGGCTGCCAGAATTAAAAATACCGCATTGCTTCAAGAACTAGTGAATGCAGTATTTTAGTAGCATTTTTTTAGTGATTTGCAAAAAACGTTTTAAAAATGCTATGAGCTATTTTACTGCTGACCTTAAAGTGGTAGATACCATTTTGTGAATTGAGCCCATTTTCTTTAATGCTCAACTCCAGCCAGAATGTATTTATTAGACTTTATTTAGAGTTGAAAAGGCTTACATCCTCTGTCAAGAATTATTACTGTGTCTAAGATTTTACAGTGGATAAAAAAAATGTATACATACCACTGTTAAAATGTCAGGTTTCTGTGATGTAATAAAATGAGACACAGATATCATAATTTCAGAACTTTTTCCAACTTTAACCCCTTCCTGCCGGTGCCTCCCGGCCCTTTAAGAGTTTCAGAGGCCGGGAGGCGGGACGGGTTTGGCGTGCTTTAGGGATCATGACGCATCACGGCGGTCACATGATCAGGGAAAGGTCCCGATCGAAAGAGCAGTGACTGGCACTGATAGGTGGCACTGACTGGCATTGATAGGTGGCACTGATGGGTAACACTGTAAGGCAGCTCAGATGGGCAGTGATGTGGCATTGATGGGCACTGAAACATGGCACTGATGGGCACTGGCAGGTGGCATGGATAAGCACTGAGAGCTGGCACTGATGTACACTGACAGGTGGCACTGCTGGGGCTACACAGATCATCAGGGCACACTGATCATCAGTGCCCTGATGATCAGTGTACATGTCCCCTCTGCGGAATGCCAATTACTGGTTCTCATCTCCTCTCAAACTGTCAGCGTGACAGCTCGTGTGGAGAGAAATGCCGTTAACCGGCATTTCCCTGTTTACATGTGATCCACTGTGTCCGAGGGACACAGCGCACCGCCGTTCGCCGCTCTGCGCACTTAGAATGGGAGGACGTCATATGATGTCCTCCCAGAACGAGAGAACCGCCTTGTGTCTGTCATTTTACTATATGGCGGCCGGGAGGCAGTTAATGTTGCTGTAGGCCTCTTGGCAGCCTCCCAGACCAGTTTTCTTCTAGTCTTTTCATCAATTTTGGAGGGACGTCCAGTTCTTGGTAATGTCTCTGTTGGGCCATATTTTTTCCACTTGATGACTGTCTTCACTGTTTTCCATGGTACATCTAGTGCCTTGGAAATTCTTTTGTACCCTTCTCCTGACTGATACCTTTTAACAATGAGATCCCTCTGATGCTTTGGAAGCTGTGTGCGGACCATTGCTTTTGCTATAGGATGCGGCTAAGAAAATATCAGGAAAGACCTACTAGAACAGCTGAACTTTATTTGGAGCTAATCAGAGGCACTTTAACCTCCCTGGAGGTATTCCCGAGTGTAGCTCGGGGTAAAGTTTCAGCACCACAAGCGGTAACCCCGAGCTACACTCGGGAATACCCTGCAGCGTTGCTCCGGGATCTCTCCTTCACTTACCTTGTCCTGCGCAACCGCGATGTCCCCCCCTGCAGCGTCCCCGGCAATGTCTCCGGCTGATGCCGGCATCTGTCTTCCGGGTTCTGTTCCCTGCGACGTCAGGACGTACAGGGACGGAACTGGCGGAAATTTAAAAATGTCAAAAAGTGACATTCACTCAATACACTAAAATCACATAGTATTACATTACTGTATCAAACCATTTCACATAAATTTTTTCCTGTGCCCTACCTGCATTTTTACTGTTCTTTCTGCCTAGAAATTGAGAAATGTCCATGGCATCCAAAAAGCGTCCCTTTAGGTCAAAAGCAGTTTTAGACCAGCTAGAGATCAGCGACAGTAAATTAGAACCACTTGCAGAATTGAGTGATAATGATTCGTGGGAAAATTCGTCATCAGACACTGAAAACGATTTTGCGATTTTGCTCAGTGATGTGCGAACTTGGCGCTATATTTCAAATTTCAGTGTTTTTGGTTTGATTATATTATTGAATTAAATTTATTATTTTTTATGATTATTAAATTATAATTTATGATTTTGTGTTTCAAATTTTAACCTACCCGGGATGTTTACTAGACTCTTGTTCAGACAGATTTCAGTGAGTTATTCCTAAAAATTACAGGCCTACAATAAAAAAAACGACATATTTCCATGCAAAAAAATTTACCGCTTTGAGCACAGAAATCCTGACATAATCAGACCGCTAGGGAGGCTACATGATGGCAGGTGTGCAGGAAGGTTAAACTGACTACTATTTAACATGATTTTGAATGTCAATACTTAATCATGAACACCGCTACATCTCCAGTTGTGAGAGGGTGTGTACATTATTTTAGTTTTTTTATGTGTTTACTACCCCCCCCCCCCCCCAAAAAAAAATTCAGTTTGTTTTTCAATTGAGTTGTACAGTTTATAAGTCACATTAAAGGTGGAAAGAGTTCTGAACTTATTTATGTTTTGTCTTATTTTTTACATCACAGAAACCTGACATTTTAACAGGGGTGTGTAGACTTTTTATATCCACTGTGCCTCACTTCCTTTTCTTGTGACACACTATAAACATGCTGGTATTTGCATAAGACAACAATCTGATTGCAAAGTCTTCTATTGCATGGTGTAAATGATGGATTGCAATAAAAATGTAAACTAATAATGCATTTCTCTAATTGTGTTCCATCTTTTCATAGTAATGGATAAAACCACAGCTGAAGGCAGAACACCAGAAGAAGTTGCACAGATTGTGCTGCGTGCTGTAGGTGAAAGAAGTAAAGAAGTTCTGATAGCTGGACTGGTGCCTACATTAGCTGTATACCTGAGGCCTCTTGCTCCAAAAATCTTTTTTTCTCTCATGGCAGCAAGAGCTAAGAAGGAAGGAAAGCAGAAAAATTCATAGTGTGTTCAGAGCCTCTGTTGGTAGCAAAGACAAAACCTGTAGAGTGATACCAAATCCAGCCTAAACTATGATGGACTAGCAGTTACCACTGCTGAGTTTTGCCCGTTCTGTGTTCTCTGAATTTTACAGTGACATAATGTAAGTTGGAAATGTTAACCTGAATTTTATCTAAATAAACTGGGGAAAAAAGATTGGTCTTTGCCTGTATCATATACATACAGTAGTTACATATTTTCTCCTGCTGAAATAAAACACAAACCTAACCCCTTAAAGCATCACTAGGATCTGATATCTTTTTTTTCCATGTTATAGCAGAATTTTACTCTCTCTCAGTCAACATTAACTATTTTTAATCCTTCTGCTGCTAGTCTTATTAAACAGATAGGAAGGTACAGTTGTGTTCAAAATAATAGCAGTCAGACATCACTAACCTGATCAATCACTGTTTTTGGTAGAAATGATATTTCTACATGGCAAATAATTTACTAGCAGGTGTAGTAGAGTAATAGAAATCCAACAGACCCAACAGTCATGACATGCATGCTGCTGATTCTGTGTAATTGAATCACTAATTGAAAGGGGCATTTTCAAAATAATAGCAGTGTGGAGTTCTATTAGTGAGGTCATTCATTCTTTGAAAAACAGGTGGCAATTATTGCCCTTATTTAAGGAAGGAAGGCAGCAAATGTTGTACATGCTGGTTACAGTGCATTTCTCTCTGAAATTCTAAAGAAAATGGGTCATTCCAGATATTGTTCAGAAGAACAGCGTACCTTGATTAAAAAGTTGATTGGAGAGGGGAAAACATATAAAGAAGTGCAGAAAATGATAGGCTGCTCAGCTAAAATGATCGCAAATGCTTTAAAATGGCAACCAAAACCTGAAAGACGTGGAAGAAAGCGAAAAAAAAAAACTACCATTCGAATGGATAGAATAGCCAAAATGGCAAGGACTCAGCCAACAATCAGCTCCAGGAAGATCAAAGAAGGTCTAAAGTTACCTGTGAGTACTGTTACAATTAGAAGACGCCTATGTGAAGCCAAGCTATCTGCAAGAAGCCCCCGCAAAGTCCCACTGTTGAAAAAAAGACGTGCTGAAGAGGTTACAATTTGCCAAGGAGCACATTGACTGGCCTAAAGAGAAATGGCGCAACATTTTGTGGACTGATGAAAGTAAGATTGTTCTTTTTGGCTCTAGTGGCCGGAGACAGTTTGTCAGACGACCCCCAAACACTGAATTCAAGCCACAGTACACTGTGAAGACAGTGAAGCATGGTTGCGCAAGCATCATGATATGGGGATGTTTCTCATACTACTGTATTGGGCCTATTTATCGCATACCAGGGATCATGGATCAGTTTGAATACATCAGAATACTTGAAGAGGTAATGCTGCCTTATGCTGAAGAGGAAATGCCCTTGAAATGGGTGTTCCAACAAGACAGCGACCCCAAACACACCAGTAAACGTGCAACATCTTGGTTCCAGACCAACAAGATAGGCGTTATGGAGTGGCCAGCCCAATCCCTGGATCTTAATCCAGTAGAAAACTTGTGGGGTGACATCAAAAATGCAGTTTCTGAGGCAAAACCAAGAAATAGAGAAGAACTGTGGAATGTAGTCCAATCATCCTGGGCTGGGATACCTGTTCACAGGTGCCAAAAGTTGGTTGACTTCATGCAACACAGATGTACAGCAGTTCTCAGAAACAGTGCTTATACAACTAAATATTAAGTGATTCAAAGGAAAGCAAAATCTTCAAACATTTTTCAGTTTATATAGTGAATGTTTGAGTTTGTAAAGAAGAATACAAACACTGCTATTTTTTTTGAACACTCTAATATTCACTTTTCTTAAATTTTTTGAGAGGAACACAAATTTGATATATTTTTCTTCATGTTTTGATTTGGAATACAATTTGTAGTGTTCCCAATGCATTTGTGTGTATGGAAATAAAAGCTATTAGAAGGATTTTGAGCTTTATTCACTTTTTTCAACACACTGCTATTATTTTGAACACAACTGTATATTATATTGTTGTAAATGTTTTTTTTTTTTATTAGTTTCTGGCCTAGGCCAAAATGTTGTCATACATCCCAAGTGTCTTTCTTTCTTTCTTCTGGAGGAGGGACAGTCCCAGCTAAGCACACCCTCCTGCCTGCATGCCAGACCTAAGAGCAGATGGATTCCGGGCTGTAAATGCTATACAATTCCTCTCCCCAAACTTAAGATGGCTGTGGCTAGAAATGCTATGGGGGTGTTTTTCAAAGTGATTCCTCAACAAAAATAGATCATAAAGACATGGAGAGATGAGCGCGTTTTGCTTTGATTATTGCAAATTAATTGTACCTGAGCACCACAAACCAAAAACAAAAGCCAGTTAACTTCAGCTTTATGTATATACAGAATGTGGAATGTGCAAGTATAACAGTTGCAGGTATTTATTACCATTCTTTTGAAAATATCTGTTTCTCCCTTTCCTTACCAGAACATTGGCACAATCGTTGATCTACATGCACTTTCTGCAGATTTTCTCTTGATAAAACAATCATGTAAATCCTGGTGCTTGTGTAGAAGCCTTTTTATTGTGCTTTAAGTACATGTCACAAAGATCAGCCTTGTGCTGATTTCATCTTATGACTTGCAACAAAGTTACAGTCAAGAGCGACCTTTAAAGGATAAGTTCACTTTTTGTAACATGTTACACCCATGTTCCCCCGCTCCTCCCCCCTGATCCCCGCTTTGACAGCTAACGGGGGATCTTCTTCCCCCTTGCTAGCTGTCAATTTTTTTAAAACTGTGGCCGTGCAGGGCTCCGCCCACATTGCCACATCATTCATTCACAGTCATCTATGACTGAGAGACTACAAGTCCTGACAGCCTTGGCAGCTGTTAGCTTGTAGTCCTCCATGAACTACCACGGTGCTGTGAAGCGCCATGGTAGTTCATTCTTTCTTCCTGCCAGTATATCTGCTTGTTTGTACATCCCGTACGAGCAAGCAGATATACTGACAGATCTGCAGGTGACCTGCATGGCACCAGCAATCTGCTGATCGCTGGTGCAATGATTTACAGGCTCCTGCAAACAAAAATAAATGCACATTTTTTTTTTTTTTACCTGCAAAAAAAGTGAATTTTTTTTTTTCTAAAAGGTGAACTTATCCTTTAACCACTTCCAGTCCGGACACTTACATACGGTCACTCTAGCATGGTGACACTGTACTACTTGTGGGGGGTGATGAAGATTTTTTTTTTTTTTTACTACAGTGATTGCTTTTACACCCATAAAGGCTGTAAAAGCAATCATTTGTCCTCTCTGCATTCTTGCAGCCATTGAGAACTACTGTGTGAGCTGTGATTGGTCACAGCTTGTCACATGTCACAAGGCTGTTGTGAATAGCCTTGTACCATGTGACCTCTGTGATCATTCACATATTTCACACGTAGTAAGCAATGATGTCAGAAGTGACATCTTGCTTACTACTCTGCCTGTGATCACTGATTGGCCAATCAGTGATCACATGATCGGGACCTCAGACAGAGGTCCCGTCCGATCGGTGTTCCATTGTGTCCTGAGGACCCAGGGAGTGCGCACAAGCAGGGTGCGGGGAGGCCGTTTATAAACGGCCACCTGACCCTGCACTGCCACCGTCCGGCCGTTTATATACAACGGCCGGATGGGAAGTGGTTAAGGGAGGAGAGAATCCTTCCTCCTGCCTGCATCACACTAATACTCCCAGATTGCACTTGTCGACCATCTCTGGTCTATGTTTTTACAGTTTCATAAGGAGGAATAGGCACAATTTAAAAATACCACATAATAAACAAAGCCACATAGATAACACAGTTCATTAGCTCAGGTAAAATAAAATCCACAAATTTTAAGATATCTACCTCCTCTACCAATTTTATTTTGAGAGTGCAGGTTGTGATTATGTTCACTACAGATATTTTTAACTTCTTTACATACATGTGTTATGGAATCGTCTTTACAGAATGACAAACAATATTTTGTACCTAAAGAGGTAATAAACCAAAAACGTATTATTGCAGCTTTCAAATCATTAGCTGTGGTGGCTGCATCAGTTTTCTTTTATGACTTTTTTTTTCCCCCCTGGTGATCTGGTCAGTAACATACCTCCAGTATTCGTGAGATACAGCACTGGATAAATGAGCACAGGAGACACAACAGACCACAGTATTATCAGTTTAGAGGGGAGGATAGTATTAAACGTACTAGTAGATTTGAATACAATAACAAATTAAGGCCAGACTCTAGCTCACACTTTATAATCCGTTACAGCAACAGTGTTTTACTTTTGGAATAAAGGTCTTGCATGAATAAAAAAAGGCTAATAATTTTAATCACCCTGTAGAGTGGCAATCTTCCAGTGCTGTGAGGGTTAATAGGGCTGGGGGACCTGTGACAGGCACTCATCAAGTGTGCTGACTATATCCACTCTTTCTTCCCCCTCCTCTATTCATAGAACCTGTACTATAGCTTCCATGAATGAAAAACAATCTGTGAGGACAGGTGGATGAATGAAAGCTCTGCCTTCTTCATTCATAGATTGTGTTTTATTCATGGAGGCTATAGTTCAGCTTCTATGAATGGAAAGGGGGGCAGAAAGGGCCGGTATAGTCCGCACTCTTGAGTGCCTATCACAGTTCCCATTACTCAATCCCTGCAGCACTGGAAGATTGGGAATAGGACATTTTGCATTGATAGTAAGTACTGTCCCTTGTACTGATTGTTTAAAAAAAGAAAAACATGTTTGACTAACCTTTTAGGCTTTAATATAAAATTATTTTCTTTGAATCTATGGAGAGACATGGGAATTCTATTACAGTAGGGTTATACTGCTGCCTACCAGAGGTTGGGACACTAGCAAGCAAAAAAAAAAAAAAATAATAAAAAAGCACTCACGACGCGCAGCAACCATTACACCGGAAGTGACGTCAGCCTGGAGCGCACAGCCGCAACACACTACCGGGTTGCAGT